ATTATCAAATTACACGACAATTAGATATATGTTACAAATATAACACATGGACAATTTGCATATAAGAATAAGTATTTGGAGCTAAAGGATAAGGTTGCAATGAGAACAGAGAGACAATGCAAATATTGGGATGTGAATAAATGGAGATTAAAAATAAGCAAATACATTTCACTGTCATATAGTCTTCCTATCAAAACAAAATAACCGCATGCTTATTGAGGGCCTGCTTTGTGCCTGCTGCTGTGGCAAGTGCTGTAGGAGATAGTGCACGTTTAACAGGCTCCTGCCCTCAATGTATTAGAAAGGAAAAACAAGCACTGTGGGTATCCATGGAGTTCTTATAATTCAGTCATTTAGTGCAACTTTTTATAATCTTAAAATCTACAACAAAGAGGAGAAACAGTCATTAAAATAAGTTATTTCTTTGAAATATGTCTCCTATTTCATTTGTAATTTATTTTTCCCTTTCAAGCTTATTGTCCATGAAATCTCAGTCTAGACTAATTTGTTAATGCACGTTTGAACATCTCAAAATTTCCCCGATGTTAAACAATTTTTACTAAAATTCTTCTTTTTCCCAACCTTACATTTATAAAGATGAAAGAAGAAAGATGCATTTGGGGAATTTTTAGCACATATTTCAGGGACAAGGATGATTGCAGAGTTGAGATGATCTATCATAAATTGTTGGCTGTAATACCCAATTAAGTATTGGAATTGCACATGGGACTGAGGCACATTACCCTGGCAAATGCATTGTTTTTCTTTTGAATCAATTTTATGATGAAAAATCGCAATAATTCTAGTGCTTTCCCCATCCATGTCACAGCTATATGTTTGGATTTATAAGATACATTTTGCTTTTGTCTATAGATTTATAATACTTGCCACTCACAACGTATTTCAGTTTTCTCTTTAGAAACACAATTTAGTTTTGCTTACAACTTTGCTCATTGAAAACATGTTTTCATTTAGGCCTGAAGAATTGGATGAGAACACAAGTACAGAAAAACAAAACCTTATGTATGAATCAATGTATTTTTTGGTTTACTGTTAATTTGTTTAAGAGAGAGAAAGAAAAACTTTGTTTAATATTATTTTCTGAAACATAAAGTTTAATTGAAGCTTTGGAACTTTTAAAATGCTTTGAAAAGTTTAGTTTACAAAGATACAAAAAAAATTGTTATGTGACTAAGATATCACATTAAGGCACTTAGTATAATTAATACTTCTTATAAGCAGGTAATCTCAATACCTAGCATGCAACCCCATCATCCTATGTCCTTTCCCAGAGGTCCCCATGAATGGTGTTGGACTTAGTAGAGAAGACACTTAATACAAATTTCCCAGGTCTACCTTAGTGTGTCTCTGGGAGAGACTTGGCAAAGTGTGTTACTAATCTTCTCAGGTACCTTGGGAGCTGCTGTCCTGTCACTGCTGAACATCTCATCATACTCTTGAGCATACTATCTCGCTACTGCCTGCCTTTTGTATTAGGTATTTATTGTTTAAGTAACCGAGAGATAATTTAAAGTATGTGACAGGGTGTGCACAGGTTATGTATAAATACTTGAGCATTCTCAAACTTTGGTATCTGTGAGGGGTCCTGGAACCAATCGCATGGATACTGAAGGATGACTGTAAAAATACTGTGTTGTAGAATAGTTTATTTCCTTACATATACTGTCTTTTCCACTTTTAGGTGAGCTTCTCTTGGGTTGGGAAGGGCTGCTTCTAGAGTATGCAGGGTCCTAGGTAAACATTTTTTTTATGGCCTCTGGCAATATAAACAATTTGACTCACCCAATTCAGCAAATTAATACCATTTTGGTGGCCCACTCTCACATAATTTCAAGAAAGAAATACCACGCTGGCCAGCAGGAGGCATCCACTTCCCAGGTCATCAGCGTAGAACTGGGCTCAGACACAGGGATCCCTAAGCGTAAGTCTGGAGCTCCTAAGGCATTCGTTTGTCCCCACTGAAGAATAGCAGGTGAGAGTGCAAAGTAGAGTCTAAGGATGGTAATGGGATGAAAGACACCCTTTTCTATCAAGAACTTAATCCAGCTTTGTATCACTAATACTGACTGAAACTATTCCACAGACATCTCTGAATGTTCTCAGGCACAGCACCTAGGAAACATTAAGTTCCTGATGAAAGAAAGCATGTATGTTTTTAGGTGTTCTAGTGATAAAGAATATATATATATAGAAAGAGACAGAGTCTCACACTGTCGCCTGGGCTGGAGTGCAATGGCATGATCTCGGCTCACTGCAACCTCTGTCTCCCGGGTTCAAGCGATTCTCCTGCCTCAGACCCCAAAGTAACTGGGATTACAAGTGCCCATCACCACACCCGGCTATGTTTTTGTCCTTTTTTTTTTTTTTTTAGTATAGGCAGGGTTTCACTATGTTGGCCAGGCTGGTTTTGAACTCCTGACCTTGTGATCTGCTTGCCTCAGCCTCCCAAAGTGCTCAGATTACAGGCGTAAGCCACTGCGCCCAGCTGATAAAGAATATTTTTATTAGTTAATAGATTTCATGGAGTTTAGTTTTTTTAATGTTATGTAGAGTCTTCTATCTCTGTGTGTTGAAATTTTTTTTCATTGGAATCTAGTACTGACAAATTAAGATTGTCTTGTAGAAAATAAAGTCTTTGGCTATACAAGCGGCGTAAAATATAGTGGCTAAACTTACTACATAAGAAATGTTAAAAACATTCCAATTAAGGATTTCTAAGGTAAGATTAATAGATTGAATTATTTAAACATTCATTTAAAAATGCTTGGTACATATCTCCAAATTTGGTAGTACCTTTCATGGTGAGAATAAAACGGATAATGTCTAATTTTAATTTTAAAAACCCTCATAAACAAATATAATTATGTTTCCAACTATGTTAGGAAAATAGGATAATGAATAGATAATGGTATATTTCTGACCACACCTGGGTATGGATGAAAATTATCACTCAGGTTCATCTAGAAATTACAATGTCATGCAATTATTCATTTTAAAAATGACTAGTAAATTTAATATGCATAAATATAAAGCAATAAGAATACACATGTATTTTGCTAAGGAAACATGTATAGGTTTGACTTCCTAACTTTGCCCAGTGAGATTAGACTAGCCCAATGATTTCCAGCCGGTGTTTTCAGACTCTTGGAATGTGTTGTAATAAGGCTAATGTATTGGGACTTAGCTGAGCTGTCAATCAACCCTAGCTTCGGGTGCCCCTGATTGTGCCCTGAGAGCACTCAGTGCTTAGCTCTCTTTACAGCACTCAATGCCCTGTGTTGTAATTGCCTGCTTAACTTGTCTGTCTCCACCAGTGGACTGGGATTTTTTGTAGAGCAGAATTTATTTTATCTCTAGCATTTAACAGTACATTGTATATGCCTACAAACCGTTCACTGAATGAATATAAGTCATTTGTTTAACTCTTTTATTTGATGCATAGATCTTCTTGCAACATCCCAGATAATAGGTTAGCCAGCCTCTGCTTGTTTGCTTTCAGTGGGCTTCTTAAGGTAGTTACCCCTGACTTTTTGACAACTCTGGTTATAGTATACTTTTTTTGCCCTTGCTAATTGTAAGTTCTTCTTCACTGATCTGAAATCTATTACTTTATAAATTATGCACTTTGGTCTTTTTTACTTTTGGGAAATAAGAAGGAAAAACAAATTCTTTAGATAAAAGAGATAACTTTATAAATCTGAAGGAACATAGAAAATCATCAGATTTATTCTCCTTAGTTTGCAGATGAGATTCAGTAAGATTGGAGTTTTGTCTGAGGGACAGTAACAAGAGTGTAATCTCAGACCATATACATCATTGGCTGGGTCTTCTGGGCCTTCTACCTTATCCTCAGATGACTGAAGTAAACTATTTGACCTCCTCTAAGTCTTTCCAATATGTTTTCATGTTCTGACCTAAAAGGAATATTCTCGTCTAATAAGTTTAAGAAAATATTTAAGTTTAATCAGGTTTTTTAAATGTAATACTTCTCAGGGACTTTTATACATTAATGTACCCTGTGACTTTTTAAGGGATGGTTATAGTATTTTTTGGTAATAGAAATTAATATTTCAAGCAATTAATTTTCAAATAACACACTTTGGAAATTGTGGCTCTATTCTAAACATACTCCATTTTTCCAGGTGTTCTTTCAATGAAGTAATTTGCAGACATTCCATGACTAATCTTGGCATGTTCAGAACTACATAGGAAACTGTATGCAGACATAGAAGAACACTAATAAAGGCCCAATAAAATATTGGAAAAGCCCCTCTAACTATAATTTCACACTCTGTAGCCATCTGGGATTCTATCATTTAGTTATTCATTTGGTCAAATAAAGATTTTCTTTTTTAATACTTGAAAACAGTGCGCTGAACCTCTTCTTTTTTCTCTCAAATTTATGAAATTATAATTGAAGTACACTAATTATACACATGTATACAATTTGATTGGTTTTGATATATACATATACACACACATACACAATAGTGGAACCATCATCAAAAGTTAGATGATAAATATTTTTATTATCACAGAAAATTTTTGTTCTCTTTTATAATGCATCTTGCCCTCTACCCTTCCTAATAACTGATCTGCTTTCTGTCACTGAAGAATAGTATAAATTTTCTGAAATGTTATATTCAAAGAATCATAGAGTTTGTACTTTTTCAGGGCTTGGGTGATTTAACTTCTTTTATTCAGTCTAACAATTTTGTGGTTCACGTATATTGTTGCTTATCTATCAACAGTTTATGTTTTTTTTATTGCTGATTAATTTCCCAGGTACAGATAAGTACCACAATTGTTTATCCATTAATCTGTTGATGAAGATCAGAGTTGTTTTTAGACTTTGACTGTTAAAAATAAATAGCTATGAACATTCTTAAACAAGTCTTTGCATGGATATATGTTTGTTTCTTTTGGGTAAACATTTGGAAGTACAATGGCTAGGTTAATTTGCAGGCATGCTATTTTACCAAAATAGTGTATTTTTCATGCCACTAGCTCTTTAGAGTGAACTAGACTAGTTATCTTGCTCATCTCTTACAACTGGGAAGTAAGCACTCACAGTAGGAAATGGAAAAATCAATGGGAAAGGAAGTACTCCGGGAAGGAAGTGCAGAGAAGAAATGATTTGGATTAGGTACATTAGGGAAGGGCACCTTTTATTAGGCTTCTAAAACTGTCTACTGGGAAAGTGAGGAGGAGCGAGTACTCAAGTACTAAGAACCTGTAGACTAATTTTCTTATTTTTCATGTAGTGCTTTATAAGTGAAATTTGTTTCTATTGTACTGAGATTTCGAATGTTGTTATTTTCCAGTGATTCTAACTCTGGAATCCTAATTACACACACCTGTGTTGCTCTTGCCTTGTACCCAAGGTGTCTGCTTCTGCTGGTGGCTAATAGTCCATGACAGCCCTTCTATTTCATAGTAGGTTTCTTGACAAGAAAATAAGCAGAGGAATGTCACTTTTCCAGATGGAATTGTCCCAATAGCTTTTCTTTGTAGTCTGAATGTTAACCTTGTCCTATTGCATTAATTACTGATATTTAGTATATACCTCCAGAAGTAAGTACATATTTGCCATTCTGAGTAGAATATTTGGGAAATAAAAAAAAGAATCTTTTTTTTTTAGATAAAAGACCCTGATTTGCCTGAAAGACTTTGAAACTGTGCTGATTTTAATAAGTTCTGGTGTTCTGTTCTATACCACTGTAGAATGACTAATGTAAACAATAATGTATTATATACTTTCAAATAGCTAGAAGAAGGGTATTGAATGTTCCCAACACAAAGTAATAATAAATGTTTGAGATTATGGATGTATATTCTAATTACTCTGATCTGATCACTTTTACTTTATATGTGTGGAAACATCACCATGTACTGCATGAATATGTATATTTATTATCTGTCAATTAAAAATTAATTAAAAAAATAAAAAAGTAAAAGGCTTGTTTGAGGGAGAACATACATGTAGATATGGGATTTGAATTAGGCTTCCCACAGAACAGCATAGTATTTTGGATTCTAATGTAATCATTTTTTATACTTTTTTCTCACTATTATTTAAGTAAAAACGTACTTGTGTACATTTTTATAGTTCCTGGCCTGACAGGGGTCTGCATGGTAGTGGTGCTATTCCTCATGATCACAGCCTCTACATATGCAATAAGGTAAGTGTCAGAGTCAATTATTTTGATGTTTATCTGTCAGGTTATTTAGAAAAAGTCTTGAGTAATCAAAGTGTTTAACCACTGTAGTGTCCTGGTTAATAGACTGTTCTGGGTAAGTAAGAGTGAAGTATAGCTGTTTCTATACATGACTTCTTGTTTCTGAAAATTCTCTTCGTATTAGCAGATTTTCTGGATTGGTAAGAAATTGTGTATGGAGATTGCATTTGATGACCAAAACAATTACAGTTCTTCAGAATTTGAGTATCTTTCTGAAGGGTAGTGTATCTCTATGGGGCATGGGATTGAAAGCAATGTGTACATACAGGGACCTTAGGAATTCCTAGGAATATGTGACTTAAAATTATTTTAAAGCTATTTTCCTGATATGAGTTTGTCTTGCTGTAAATTAACATGATGTTCTATACAAAACTTTGGAGAAATTGTTGGTTTCCATCTGCTAAAATAACAAATTATCTGCATTCATATTGATTCTTATCGTTAAGAGATTTTGAGCAAAATCAGATGTACATTATCAGGAGCACTTTCACATGTCATTTCTGATGGACACATTTAATTTTTCAGAATATTTATAGTGTCGATGTTTCTGAATAAACTTTTTAGTTAAAGAAAGCAAAAAAGGAATGTAACATGTATTTCCTCTAATCTTCAAAAATCTTCAATTGTTCTACTTGTTGAGATGTGAAATTCAATAGAAACACAGAAATATATCTATATATATGTATGTCAGCTTTGAAAATAATTGCCAAATAATATACTTAAATGAATCTATCCTTATACTTTTTAACATTTGTGCACACACATACACACACCCCAAAATTTCACAAGTCTAGTCACTACCCAAAGATTAATACTGTGCATATGTAGTGTATTTTTATAGATTAAATCCTTCTTACTCTTGTTCACTAATTCCCCTCCTCCTACCCCCAAATCATTTTTTCTCTCTTATATACCTATGTATTTTACCAAAACAGGACCATATTAGAATATTACTTTTAATTTACTTTTTACCTAAATTTATATTATGAACGTGTTTTACATTAATAAATATTTTGTTATTATTCTCTTTACTGATGGCACAGCACATCGCCAAATAGGTCTTTATACATTATTTTCCCAGATCCATATTACTAAATGTTTTGGGTAGATTTGGGTTTTGTTTTTTTTTTTTTTTGTATTCCAATTTTGAAACAAACACCCCCATCCATATGTCTTTACATGCTTTTTCAATGATTTCCTAAGGAAAAATTCTTAGATGTAGAATAGCTGAGTCAAATTGTAAGAACACTTTTTAAAGCTTTTCATAAGAATGAAAACTTGGTTTACAGAAAGGCAACTCACTAACATTAGTATGTGAGGGTGCCAATTTTGTGGGGAGCAGTTTTATTTAGATAGAGGAATCATTTAAAAAACTATTTTTTTTTTCAATTTTAGGAGTTCTTGAAGGAAAATTAGAGCATCTGACATATTTACTTTAAAATCCTTGAGATACGGTTTTATCAAATGGAATGAAAAGATCAGCTTCTATTGTGAACTGAGATTTTGCATTTGCTCTCATAAGCAATTTAAGCACTTCTTAATCTTCAGAGGTTTTATGCTTTGTTTAAAACTTGTTTAAGCAAGATTATAACACCTAGTTTGCTTTTCTGTAAGTATTATTGTTAGAATCATGAAATTCTTAAATGAATCATGGAGACAGATATCTCTTTTATTTTACCTTTTCTTTTTCTCAGTAAGAAACTAAAGCATTAGACAAATCAAGTGAATAAATAAGCCTGCAGTGTTTGATTTCTGATAGTGAAATGTAGCCTCCTAATTCAAGGAGAGTTCAATATGGGTCAATCTATTAAAATAATTAATGTATCTTATTATCAGATGACAGGAATACATTTTCTCATCTCAATTGATTTTAAAATGGCAGTTACTAATATGAACTCAAATTTTGACTTAAAATACTCACAGTAAATAAACTAAAAATTAAAATTATTTCCATTGTAGAATTAAAAAATATAAAAGCTAGAATTGTGGTTATACTCAACAGTGAAATACTAGATGTATTCCTAAGAAAATCAAGAAAAAACAAAAAGTATTTTTAATTCTACCAATATTTACATACAGTAAAAAATGAAACATTTGGAATTATTAGAAAAAAATGCAACAATAAATTATTTTATTTCCAGAAAAGTAGGTATAATATCTATGTTTGATAATTATTTTGGTAATTATTAGGTTTCTAAGAGAATTGAAGAGAATTATGGAAAAATTTGGTGTTAACACCAAGTGAAACAGTTGAAAAAGGTAATTGAATATAAAACAAATGTAAAAATAATCCTTCTGTCTGTTAACTATAATTAGTTTGAAAAAATGAATAAAATAAAAATAAACTACTCACAATTGCAGCAAAACACATAATATCTGGAGACAAAAGAAGTATGTTCACTGAGAGAAATATGTAGAGATTTAAATAAAGGCTGTATACTATAAAGATATAGTTCTTGTTATATTATGATTATTTTTTTGAGACAGGATCTTTCTCTCTCATCCAGGCTAGAATACTGTGGTAAGATTACAGCTCACTGAAGCCCCAACCTTGACTTCCTAGGCTCAAGTGATCCTCCCACTTCAGCCTCCTTAGTAGTCAGGATCACGGGCACACACCACCATGCCTAATTTTATTTTTATTTTATTTTACTTTTTTTGTAAAGACAAGGTCTCAATATGTTGTCCAGGCTGGTTTCGAACACTTGGGCTCAAGTACTCCTTCCACCTCTGCCTCTTAAAGTATTGGATTACAGGCATTAGCCACCATGCCTGACCCCTCGATTTTTTTTTTTTTTAGGGGTGTTTCAATTTCAATAACATTCTCAGACGGGGTATTTTGTTTGTTTTTTTAATTTAGCAAAGTGATTCCAAAGTTTGTCTGGGGCACATCCAAGTACATATTTCAAAAGAGGAGTAAAAGGAGGGATGTGCCTTACTGAACATTAAAATGATTAAACTTCAGTAACTTAAAAGAGAGTGGGACTTACTTGCAAAAATGACCAACACATTGAACCAAGGGACAAAGTCAGTAAAAAGCCCTGAAAATGACCTTGCTATATATAAGAACCTGCTAGATAATAAAGGTGGCATTACAAGCTTATGAGGAAAGTCAAGTTTAATGTAGGTCTAATATGTGTAACAAATTACACATATTAATTTAAAATACTCTATATAAATGGGTAATGATTATGAACAGAAAGGTCACAGAAGAATTAAAAGTGAGTAACACACATATGAAATAATACCCCATCCTACTTATAATAAATAATGAAAACTTACAAAATTTGGTCTGAGTTTTGGGAAACAGGCACTCCTAGCCTACGGTTGGGTTTGTAATTAATAAATGTGTTTTTAGAGGGCAATGGGCAGTGTGTATTAAAAGCATTAGAAAAGTGTATCCCTAAATCTTGCGATTCACATTATAATGGTTTTGATTTAAAAAAGGATCAGAGGGTCAAGCACGATGGCTCGCACCTGTAATCCCAGCACTTTGGGAGGCTGAGGCAGGTGGATCACGAGGTCAGGAGTTCGAGACCAGTCTGGCCGACATGGTGAAACCTTATTTCTACTAAAAATACAAATATTAGCTGGGCATGGTGGTGAGTGCCTGTAATCCCAGCTACTCAGAAGGCTGAGGCAGGAAAATTGCTTGAAAGTGGAAAGTGGAGGTTGCAGTGAGCTGAGGTTGTACCACTGCACTCCACTTTGGGCAACAGAGCAAGACTGCATCTCGAAAAAAAAAAAAAATCAGAACTTTGTATATGTTACAAGGCATGGTAATGATATTGTTTATGATAGCAAATACTATGAGTAGAGTAAATGTAAAGCAATTGCCTGCTGCTTAAATAAGGGTTTCTCTAAGAGTCTATGGGAAACATCACGTTCATCTAGGAAGCTTTTGTAAATATCTGCCCTCTACTTCCAAGATTCTAATATATAAAATCCACCCTGGACATATGAAATAAAATAACTGTTACTCTTTTACTTCTCTCAAATGTTCTGTAGATTATGCTCGACATTCGCTGTCTTTTCAGTGTCTTTGTCCTCCCTCAGAGCAATAACATCGAGGTATCATTCTGATTACACTGTCCAGGAAAAGAATATAACACTTTGGTCATGATTTATTTTAATTTCTCTCTTTTTGAGTTTCCCTTGAACTATTCTCAAAATATGTATTGAAAGAGGAGTATTGGTTGTTTTGGAAATTATTTGAAAATTGACAATATTGATAAAATAATAGCCAAGGTACATATTAACAGACTACTATCTGCTTCTTAGTCTTATATCGTAATATCTTGAAAATAAACAACTTATTTTTTATTATTTCCATATGTCTTTATTTGAAATACAAATAACTTACAAAATGATAAATTCTTACTCATATTTTTGGTCAGTTATCTCTATATGGTGTGTTAATACTTTGGTATTAGTAGATGAAAATCAGATATACTCATATTTTAGCTTTCTTCAATTGTGAGAGATATGATATTTTGATATTTTTAGTAAGATGGAATGTAAAGTAGCATTAAAATGAATATATTTGTTTTGCAGAGTTTCTAACTATGATATCTTCTGGTATACTCATAACCTCTTCTTTGTCTTCTACATGCTGCTGATGTTGCATGTTTCAGGGTAAGTTTACAAATATATGTATTTAAAACCATTTGTACCCCAAAATGGGGTAATGAAAGACAACTCTATAGGAAATTTCATAGGAAGTGTAAAATTATCAAGAGTGGAAGAAATAGTTTCTCCACTATTGGGGATAGTGTCAAGAGTGGAACTGAGAATAGTGTCAAGAATGGAAGACATAATTCCATTTTTAGCATAGCATATTGTAATGAAACCAGTATAAAGTATATTACATTTAAAAGCTAGAGTTACCTCTCCCACAACCTTTTAGTTTCTAAATCTTCCTATGGATATATCTTAATATCTTCTAAAGGAAAAAATTTAAGAATGGAGAACATCAGGAATATATTTTAATGTTTGTATTTCCTGAAACTGTCCTGCTAAAGCAAGATTTATAACAATGGAATTTCCAGTTTTTCATTTTAAAAGTTCTACAGGAAGTAATACTTGCAGAGAGAGTCAAAGATTTAAAGTAACCGAAGAAAAGGATCTGTCAAAATCACCAAAGGAAAAAAAATTCATAAAGTGAAAAAATAATGTATCCTAAGCTTATTGCAAAGAGTATACATAACATATTCTGAAAGTATGTGTATCCAAGCAGTATACTCAAAAGCATGGTGCTTAAAATAATACATGAAGATAGATGAAGAAAATAATGTATTTTTGCACATGCGTATGTCTGTATGGCCACCAGCAGTGAACTTGGTGGCTTTGGCGTGACATTCACACTTGCATGACATAACAGGTCTGGCAGCAGGTTTACTTGGTTTAGCAGGATACAGGGCAGGACACACAGAATGTCAACAGGATAATGTCAGGTGCTTATTCAGTAGGAGTCCCTATAGTTGCTCAGGAAGCATTTACCCCCACTCCTTCATGTAGCAACTCTGTTTTAAGATGAGGAACCCGTGTGGGTAGGCATGGTCTACCTTGCATTGGGTAAGGCTCATTCCTACTCCACAGGAACCTGTATCTTGGGAACAGCATAGGTCCCCTCAAGGGATGCCCTTGGGATCAAGAACATACTGTACACAAGGAGGCTGAGGTCCGTGAGGCCCAAAATGGTTTCATAGTTCAATCACAGTCTTTCCGTCCAGAAGCATTTCACTGATAATAAACAATGTTGCTGGTAACACAGCTGCCATTCCCTGTTTTTCTTAGCCTGAAATATTTCCAGGGAAACAGTTTGAAGAAAGGTTCAGACCTTTGTTTAGTTCTTTCTTCAGAATGTTTTATAATGTAATTTATCAGTACAGTGGGTCATTTACATTCATCAGATATTTATTTCAGGGTACATATTCAAAATGTTGCTCTGGTTTTTTTCCCCTGATTTTGGAGACTGCTGGTTAGGACAGCAGTATCAAATGGATTTACCCCATATGTCCTGGTTAGCTTTGTTCAGTACCAAGGTTCTAGAACACACAGTTGTAGAGCACTGGAAACATGGCCACACATTGTAATTAATTCTCTGGAGCCTCAGGGCATCAAGAAAGCCCTTGGTAGAGAAAAGTCTGCTTTACATTCTACTCTTTAAATGGGATTGGTTACCTGTCCAGGGCTATGCTCCTTAAGAGGAGTATGAATAACCAGATACTACTAATGATAATAACAGTAATCTAAAATAGTTACATAATGCTTACTATATGCTAAGTATAAATTCAAAATGCTTCAGATACTTTATGTTATTAAATGCTCAGAATTGGCCGGGCGCGGTGGCTCAAGCCTGTAATCCCAGCACTTTGGGAGGCCGAGACGGGCGGATCACGAGGTCAGGAGATCGAGACCATCCTGGCTAACACGGTGAAACCCCGTCTCTACTGAAATATATAAAAAACTAGCCAGGCGAGGTGGCGGGCGCCTGTAGTCCCAGCTACTCGGGAGGCTGAGACAGGAGAATGGCGTGAACCCGGGAGGCGGAGCTTGCAGTGAGCTGAGATCCGGCCACTGCACTCCAGCCTGGGCGACAGCGCGAGACTCCGTCTCAAAAAAAAAAAAAAAAATTGCTCAGAATTTTATGAGAATAATATTGTTAAACCTCTTTCAGAGGTGGGAACCCTAATGTTTAGAAAGATTAAGTAGCTTGTTGAAGTTTCCTTAACCGATGGATCCTAGATTCAAACCTAGGCATTCTGATTCATAAACTCCTAAGTTTTTACGACAAGGCTCTATTTTTTTGGTGAGGTCGGTACTTCTGAGAATTTGATCTTAGTATTTGTTTAAATACCTTTATCTTGACTTCTTTGAGATTGTGGTCAGTCTGTTCATCTATGTATCTATATCAGATAGATATAGAAAAGAAAAATGCAGTCATTTATTAGTATAATTATATATGCTTTTGTCTTTATGTTTTACTAAATTAAAACTCTGAAAAAAATCTATTTCTTTGTAAATCAAAATAGTGTCAATTTTTTTAAAGGATCAGCAGTTCAAACAGACTTCTTTTTAAAGAGGAGGATAACATTGAGAGTTCTTTACTTGTTTGGAAGTAAAAGGAATGCATATTTAAATTTTGATTTTACTTTTGTAGAACAAGGGTCATAGAGAGAAAGTGACTTTAATTTATCCAGAAAAATAGTAGGTATCTATAGGACTAATTATATATAATCAATCATTAAACTAAATTAATAGATATTTATTTATTATAGGTAGTAATGAAGAAAGCAATTATTCTAATTTTGAATCATGTCATATAACCCATACATAATACAATAAGCATTCTACAGAGCACATTTTTTCCAGGAAATTTAATTTTTAAAAAAGCAACATAGATAAGCTTCTGGTATGAGAAATGTTACTACTGATAACATTTTACAATTTTCTCAAAAAAATACTCTATATTGATGAAAGATTGGCTTATAATCAAGTCTATTTAAGTTATTTATGCAAATGTTGAAAACAGACATATCTTTACTTCTGAAATACCTAGATAACTTTGTTCTTCAACTTTTGGTTATCCAAATAAAGTACAGTTGTTCAAAGTAAGTTTCTTGGATTTGTATTGAAATTTCTGTTCAACAGTATGCTTTAGGTCTGAACAGAAAATCACTATTTGCTTAGCATTAACTTCTGTGTCCATCAATGTGGTAAGTACCATAAGGTAAAGAAGAGCAATATATTGCATGATCTCTATTCATCCAGCATTGATCATTGACTTGGAATTTTGAAAAATCAATCGGAAAAGCTAGAAATATTATAAAACTGCATATTTTTAAAATGTAAACATTCATGTGTTATTTACATGAATGCTAGCAATTCAGAGAATTATCAGTGTGGGCTAGAAATTTTAGAAAATTATAGGCTTAAAAGATGAGGTGATTAGACGTTGTTGACTGGTTTTCTACCTAAGTAGACTTTTACAGTAAGAGAAATTGCTTCATATGATTTTCTAAGGTCATTTTTTTCATAGAATCTTAAATTTTAGGAAAGTTTAAAAGATATCTTGATCAAACTTCTTTTAAGCTCCTCTACAATAATGTCTACTAAGTCAATGCCTAATTTTGAAGATGTCCATTCTGTCTTAGGGAAAGTTCTAATTCTCACAGTGTTCTTTCTTTTTTGGTTGGAATTATTTTACTGTAATTTCTGTCTAGCTATTTAAAAGTCTGTGATTCTGGAGGCCATGGAAGTTAAGTTGCCCACTTTCCTAAATTCTATTCGTCTGTTTCTTACCTTGTGATATTTTAGATCTTAATTTTCTGAACTGTCTCTGAATATATTAAAAATTAATATTAATTGAATGCTTCTCTTTTACTAACATTTGCTCTCATTAAATCCTCCTAACAACCCTGAAAATTTATTATTATTATTATTATTATTATTACTATTATTCTCAATGTTCAGCTGAGAGAATAGGGGCAGTGAGAGATGAGTTGATGAGGGTCGTGGCTAGTAAGTAGATTTCTAGTTTGAATCCAGGTATCAGATACCAAAACTGACATTTTTAACCACTAAGTTATGTGGCCCCTATTTGGCAACACTTCTCTGTATCCCTTTTAAAACTGTAAACCAAACTAAATGTTCTTGGAGTATGTGATCTGATTTTGGCAAAGTGAAAGTCTCACTTTCTTGGCTACAAATATTGTAATCAGTATTATTTAGGACCCAAATTTTTTGTTCCATGATTATCTGTGTCCTTGTCTTAACCTGGTTTTAATTTTTGTTGTATATTTTAGCAATTCTCTTCATTTTTTATAAATAAATCTGTTGCATGCCACCCTGAAAAGATGACATTTCATGTACACTAAACTCAGATGTTTCTTTTTAGTGTTAAAATGCATCTTTAAAATACATTAATTTTCTTCTCCAAGATGTTAGTATAACATAGAGATTAAAAGGGGATACATCACTTAATACCTGTATGAACTTGGCAGATAATTTGTCCTTGCTTTTTGTTAGCAATTAAACGGGATTAATAAAATCACTTATATAATAGTGTTGTCTTGGGTTTAAATAAGGTAATGCAGCAAAGTAGGTAGAATATAGACATATGCAATAAATGTTAGCAAGAACAAATTATACCAGTACCAATACTAATAGCTTTGTAAGAATGACACTCCACATTTAACTTTGAAAAAAACAGATTTTTTGATAAAGACACAACACTTTTGAAAAGTCCAGATTTTCTTATCAGCAAAGTAATTTGATGAACATATAGTGAAAACTGCTTAGCAGCTCAAAGGAATATTCCTTGACATGGCAACAATTATAATATTCTAAGGTCTCTAAAATTCTATTGATTTTTAGCAATAAAGGTTTATCTTTGCAAAACAAGCCTTCCTCCTGAGGAATTTTTTGTTTTAATTTTTAATATACCTTTTTAGGAGGTTGCTGTTGGTCTGCTGCGTTAAAGATATTCAATTCCTAAGATACCTGGTGAAAACAAAACAAAACAAAACCATTTCCTCTTTCCAAATACGTATAGAACTGGATATTTCTTTCCTCATTTTCTTTTGAAAAACTCATTAGAAGGAGATGCATACTGCTATTCTCGCTTACTGATA